GATATCTTTGTTATAATTCTCTAAGAAGAGGCATGAAAATATTCAAAATACTCATGCAGTTGCTTTCGACCGAAATGTTTATTTTCCAAAATTTTCTTTTCATATGAATTGTTAGTTCAAACCCTTCCAATCTCTTTTGTGAATTAGATTTATTTTTCAAATTTTCCCTTGATATCAATCGCTCAAAGATAAAGTTGTAACTTTAAATTCTTTATTTTATTGTTGTTTATAAAGTTTGTATTATTGTTTTTCTTTTGTAGAAACCGACCTCAACAGTAATTGCATGGGTATTTTGGACATTTTTGTGCCTCTTGTTAGAGGATTCTAACATAGGGGGTCTACTTGCAATTGTGTCAGAAAGTTCATGAGAGGTAATTGTAATTGTCAAACTATAGGGGAGGTTTCAGAAATTTATCCAAAATTAAAAAATAGTTAAAATAAAAGAAAAACAGCCAATAACCATTGTTTGGGTCAAACGGGCTGGCAGTTCAACTGCCCAGATCATCGGGTTGCTAACAAAGTCAATGGCTTTTGGCCAAGAAACAGGTTAAGGGTGAAATAGAACTAGTTGCCTAAATGATTCCCGGGCCAAATGGTCTAACCATCCATGACGGTTCAAAAACCATAGAGGAAAATGCTCACCCAATGTTTTTAAACCGCTGTTGACCCAGACAGTCGGCCCCGGAACCATTCAAGCAACTTAACTGATTCCGTTTCACCATCAACTTAGTCCTTGGCCAAAAACCATTGATTTGGTCAATGACCCTCTGACCCAGGTGATCGAACCATCAACCTGTTCAACCCGTTTAACAATTTTAGGTCATTTTTATTTTAATTATTTTTTTGAATTAAATAGATAGACTATTCAATTTCAACCAAAAGGTCAAACCGTAACCCAGTAACCGGTGGACAGAACGGCTCCGATTCATGATCAGTTTTTAAAACCTTTGTGCAGTTATGCTCAAGTACTCACCCTCATTCGCGGATAAGAAAGATCATAAGCGAATGTAGGTGAAGAATGGCTCAAATTCTCAACTGCTCTTTTTTTAACTCTTCTAACATGTAATACTTATTGAGTTATTTCCCATATATACACTTGGTCAGTGGTTCCAGTTTCATGGAAGATGTACTCAACTCTGATTGTATTTGGAGCATTACAAACAATGAATTTAATTAGGGGTGAGCATTATTTAGTTAAAATCGAAAAATTAAATCAAAATTTTTGGCTTTGATTTTTTTAGTTTTTGATTATTTTGGTTTAGTTATTTCAGTTTTGTAAAATTTTGGTTTTGATTTTCAGGTTCAAAAATTTGGTTAACCAAAAAAATCGAATTAATCGAACTTTATTGTCTATAATATATATATTAACATATAATACATATATAATATGTATAAAATATATTTTTTAATATATAATATATACTAAAATATACATAGTGTTGGAATTCGGTTTTAACCGAAAACCGAATAAAAAAATTTGGTTTTTCAATATTTCAGTTTTAATTCGATTTTTCATTTAAATTTTCAATTTTTAATCAAATAAATCGTTTGCTCACCCTTAAATTTCATTGTCGACATCTTTGACAAAGGCGTTTTGACTAAAAATAGGGTATTTCTTCATTGATAGGTTTCATAGGGTTTAGTCGTAGGAAGAAAAAGAGAGATACAGTAACCGGTAAACCACTTTTGACGTTGCTCCATTAGGTGTGGCTTCAAGGAAAATCCCTTTCGCACATAGACAATCTAGACTGACTGCATCATTTTTTAGCCAAGAGTTCTAAATTGGAATGGGAATGGGATATTCCAATTCCAACTGTTTGGTTGGAATGGGGGAATGGTCATTCCCTCCCCTCCCTTGGGGAATGAAATCTCATTGTGGCTTATTCCGATTTTCATTCCAAATTTTGTCTGAACTAAATAGATTATGGGAATCCGATTTCAAAAAAATGGATTTATCTATGGATGTAAAACAGTCAGATTAATCCAAATCAGGGTATATCCAAATCCGATCCGATCAGATCTCACTCATACTGATTTGGATTTGAATTCGATAAATGTTGGATATTCGAATATGATCCAATCATATTTATTTTTTTAGAAAATAATAAATTATTAAAAGAAAAGGAAATATAACAGTTTAAATAAAGAAAAACAAAATATAAAAATATTTTTCAACTATTTTCATCATATATATGCACGCTTTTTATAAAAAAAATTAATATAAAAAAATACAAAATTACAATATAAATAACATATTTATAAATAAATAATATATATATATATATATATATATATATATATATTCGGATTGAATCATGATCTGATCCATTTGCACCCCTAGCTAGATTTATCGTTTATATGATAAAAGGCGAGTTAAAAGGCCTATACACTTTCATACTGCTCATAGGGTGTCAATGGGTTTGGCTTCAACCACCGTTGCATGCACTCTCTTAAACAAACAGAGCGTCCATGGTGGTGTTTGGAACCGTGGGCGTTTATTCAATAAACGCTGTCGTAAGGCGCCACTTCAGCATTTAGCCCATCATGCCGATCTGTATGCATAGGGACTTACAAAAGTAGACATCGATTTATGTTCATGCCTACCATTGGGGGAAGCTTCACTTGAGCGCTTTCCCCAATGGGTAAACGTTTATTCATTGTTTTGCTAATGTGGTGCCTAATGGCACCTAGTGGTGTCTAATTGTCAATAAATGATTTCATTATTACTTTTCTCGATTTTGTAAACAAATCAAATACAAATATTTAATGAATAAACAAAAGTTATACCAAACACATACCATATCAGATACAAACCATCTTCAGGTGGTATAGTTCATAGGAGGACTCTTTTAGTTTTATATGATATTTTTTCTCTATGTCATTGCTGAATGAACGGTTAATAATTTGAACATGATTTCTATAGGTTATATATAACGTTAAAATTCAACGAATTGTGGAGTATTTTCTAATACTTTATACTAGTTTATAATGTAAGTCACTGTTTTCAAAACCGGACCGGAAAAATCGGGAATCGGTCACTTGATCGGTTTCGTTTTCCTCCAAAACTACTTTTCCCCAAAACTATTGATTTTGATCAGCAAACTGCTGAACCGGCCGGTTAACCGTTCGAACAGTTTTGACCGTTTTCTAATTTTTTATTTTTTTGTTAGAACAGGCCGACCATTCGGGATGAATAATCAGATTGTTCAAACCAATAACTGGACCCCTGACCTGTTCGGTCACCGATTTGTTTTTAAAAACCATGATGCAAGTTCTTATGTTTTTTGGTCTTGCCAGGCCGATTCTTGCATATGCATCAGATTTTAATTTTTTTTTCAGAGTCCATATCCATGTAACATTGGCTATGTATATACCTAGACTGGTATCCTATATATCAATAGGGGTGAACTCGAGCCAGTTCATGTGGATATTGGTTGGGTTTGAAGGTATTTTTTTAATATGTTATATATACTCATCTTTTATTGGGCTTTATACCTGAATATAAGAGTAAAATTAATTATATATATATATAATTAAAAAAATTATATAAATAAAATGCATAATACATGTGTGTTTATACCATAGATCGATATAACTTTGTGTATTGGTACTAATTGATGCGCTTTTTATTTATTTTTAAATTTCAGTTTTTAAGTATAATTATATATTATTATTTAATAAAAAAGGTTCCTGAAAACACCAGTAAACAGGTGTATCAGCACCCAAAAATACGATATGATACAGTGTTTGATACTTTAAACCTTAGTTTGTACATGTTTGTGCATGGATGTGAGTTTAAATTAATCATAAATATTTAAGGGTCTATTTGATTTACAATAGGAATTGGAATTGAAATTTATTGGAATCAGAATCAGAATGGTGTATTATCCCATTTGTTTGGGTCAAATAGGAATTAGAATCAAAATCAGAGTCAGCTGGAATGGATTCTCATTCCCAAGAACGGGAGAGAAAATTGGCTATTCCCTAAAATAAGGGAATGTCACTCCATCAAAAATGAAAATCAGATTCCAAATCTGTCCAGCCAAATGCTTGAAATCGGAATGCACCATTCCAATTTCAATTCCAAATCCGTATTCCTGTGAACCAAAGGAAGAATGCATGTATCATTCAAGCAATCTGAGATTCTAGGTTGGGTTCGGTTGGGCGTGGGCTACATGAGACTTTAACCCAAGCCCCAAATCAAGTTTGAGTCAGGCCCAATTAATGTGGTTGGGGTGTAGCTCGAAGCCTAAAACAAAGTCAACCCGAATCGTGCAACATCTCAGGTTGGGTTCAGGTTGGGCCGCCCAAGTTCTAGTCTTACCTAATTAACGTTAGGGGTGCAATTTAGGTGGGCCCAACCCGAGTCCAAAGCAGCCCAGCCCGAAATTTTATATGAGTTGGGCTCGGGCCCGGGTCTGGCCTTTAGGTAGTCTGAAGCTAATCCAATTATATACATACATATATATATATATATATATATATAAATGGTAATTATGCATATATATTTACATATATATACATATATATTTGTATATATATACATTTGTATACATATTTACCTATTTATATACATATTTTACATGCATATATACATAAATATATGTATACATATTTATATAAATACATACATACGTGTATATATATATTTATATGTATAATTTTAGAATAGGTTTGACCAACCCAAGCCCAGCCTGGGCCCGAACCCAACCCGAGTTCATCAAATTAGTGCAGGCTAGGCTCGGGTATCAGGCTTAGTCCGGACTCGAACCTTAAGCCCAAATTAATTTTAGGACCAGGTCTAGATTGACCATAAACACAGCCCAACCCACCCGACTTGCACCCGTAATTATCGTATGAATCTACTGTGAATTGGACCAGAGCCTAGATCTATCAAAAGACTCCGTATGGGTTTTAAAGAATTGGACCGGTGCCTAGATCTATTATTAGTTCTTACAGATCACTTATGATTATATTTGCCCTTCTCTTACTAGAAAAACTAAAAAATTCAACAATTCAGTTGGGCTTATTTCAAAGTTACCTACCCAATGTGTACTGGCTTATCCAAAAACTTTACACAAACATCAGAGAGAGAGAGATCTGTACAATTTCAGATGATTACAAAAGGAACCTAAAATTGAATTACGAGAAGAAATCAGGGCTGCCTCTTCATTCTGAATTAGGTTTTTCTATGCTGTTTTTCCTCCTGCTTTTTCCTTGGGCTGAATAAATAACCTGAATGTCCAGACACCCAAAAGAGCCGCCCCAATGGGTGCGAGCCAGTGCACAAATATGTGCCCCTTATTTATATGACTCCCTTGAACATAAGCCCATCCCATGGCCTACACAATTCAAGCATAACATAACAAAACCAATCCTTGCATCAGTGGATTTTAGCTTGAAACTTGTTGAATATCAGGAAAAAAACAGTGTTACTACACATAATTAAATCTTGGTCAAGTACTTACAGAAGCAGGGTTCATGTATCCACCAGTAACATTAGAACCTAGTATATGTAGACCAATTTTAGAGACACTACATATCCATGTTTTCAAGAAGAAATTGTTGGGGTGACTCTGAGCAGCTTCTAGTGAGATGACAATGATAGAGAATGTCAGAGCTCCTTCAGTTAATGCACCTTGAAGGATTCCCACACTAAGGAGGGGTTCATAGCCTATTTCAGGAAGGAACTCGGTGATGAGTCTAACAGCAATAATAGATCCCAGTGCCTGAAAGTTAGTCCAAATGTTAAGGAAATCAAAATCTAATCATCTAAACAAGAAAGCCATAGTGAGGGAGATGATTTAAACACTTCAGACCATGAACAAAAGGTTGCAGATTGTCATTCATTAGGTGTATCTCTTTTTCCTCTTTTTAGCTCAATCAAAGTTTCAATCCTCCCAAACAAGCTCTTACACATACACAGACATGGGCTTAAAACAGATTCTTTTAGATGGTGACTGATTAACTCTTATCCTGACCTTAACTAAGCAGCACCATACTACTCCAAAGGATAATTGGTTTGTGGTGGCTGAATTACTAGCTGAGCTAAAATTTTTATGTTGATGGTGTCAGATTTTCTCTCATAAAAGTTTTTTCAATAGAGCTAGCTGCCCACTTGTTGGCAATAAGAAAACATTATATTCCTATTCCTCCCTGGTTGCAGCAAGGTTTTAAAAACCAACTTAGAATTAGAACAGTTCTGGACATCAGTTTTTGTGTCGATGGTTGATCGTTTGGTTCGAATGGATGGGTTGTTTTAACTTAAAAAATAAAAATAAAAAAGCAGCCAAAACCGTTGAATCAATCAAATGTGCCAACAGCTCGACTATCTGGGTCAATGGCTCACTGACCAAATCAATGATTTTTGGCCAAGGACCAGGTTAAGGGTAAAATGAAACCAGTTGCCTGAACAGTTCCTAGGCCGAATGGTCTGATCATCGGGTTGCAGTGTACTCTTTTTGAGGATGCATGGTTCTAGTGATCCAGTTTCAAAGTAATGGAATATTCATAGTTTGCCCAAAAAAAATGCTAAGCAAGTTGAATCTCTGTTATTTCATTTTGATCAAGTTTCCCTCATATTGGAGTAGGTATTATTGACTATTTATGGTTCAAAATAAACTATATTCATGCATGTTTTGGGTTTTATGCGTTTTACTTTTAGGTTATATTTGGTTTGAAGGAAAATGTAGGGAAAGGAAGAAAAAGGTAGGAAAACCTTTATAAATCTTGTATTGGTTTTCCTGTCTTCCCTTCCTTTCCCTACCTTTTCCTTCAAACCAAACATAGCCTTAAGTTTATTTTGACTAAATGTAACTATTTTTTGTTTGTATAGGAATTCTGACTGGCTCCCTACAGAGCACGCACCACAGCTACCTTCAAACCAAACATAGCCTTAAGTTTATTTTGACTAAATGTAACTATTTTTTGTTGGTATAGGAGTTCTGACTGGCTCCCTACAGAGCGTACACCACAGCATTGTGTCAATTCACGACTGTATTTACTGCCCCCTTCCCCCCAACTAACGGATCTTCTTTATAATATATATGAAAACATGGTGTAAACAAGTAGGAATAGCAACGGGTAGGGGTGGCAATGAGCCGAACTCTTTACGAGCTATTCGAGCTCAAATATACATATAGAAAATAATATATATAATAAAAATATTATAATTCTTAATATTTAAATATCAAATAAAAATACTTTTATATATAATTTTTTATTTTTATAAAACCTTATTTCTCAAATTGAGCTCGAGCTCAATGTTCAAGCTCAAACCATGCTCGAGCTCAAGTCTCGTACTATTCAGCTCGGCTTGGCTTGAATCCACCCCTAGCAACGAGGCACCGATCATATTCTCCATCTCCGACCCTGATTTTGGAATAAATTCCTATCCCTAACTTTAATCCCCATTAGGGATAAAAGTTGTTCTCCATTCCTGATCCCCAATAGGGACCCAAATGTTTAAAATTTTTTAGTTAATAGTATTTTTTGAAAAATAATTTTATTTTAAAATAAATAATATTTTAAATATATATTGATATATAAATAATATAATATATATAACCGGGGTTGGGGTGGGACGGGAACCTCATTCCCCATCCCCGACCAGAACCCCAGCCGTAGATCCCTACTAATCCCCACCCCACCAAAGTAATTCCCATCCCTGACCCAAATGACCCCATTGGGTCAGGGGAGTCATGTATCTATCGAAGATAGGAAAAATTGCCATCCCTACTAAGCAATATGGCATATCCTCGGGTACCACTATAGAGGCTAGTATTCTGCCCAGAGTGAACCTATATGTTAAATTCAAGTCGAAAAAGACCTATCATTGGATAGAGCTGTTAATGGATCGGGTCTGATTTGGGACAATAGGGCGTACCAAAACCAAACTACTTGTTAACCGGGTCCATCAAGTCTGACCCAATTAAACCCGAATATACTTGGTATCTTAATTATCAATGATAATAAATTAGCCAAAAAGTTATCAATTATAATATATAAAACCTTAATATATAAAATCTCAAGTAAAATACTAATGGTTTTCATGTTGACAATATATATATATATATATTTTAATCATAATTATCTTATATATTGTTTATGAAATTTATCCTTTTAAATATAAAATATAACTACGTATAAAAAACCAGGAAATCATTATATATTATCGCCTGTATAATCTATATACAGGTCTGAATCAGTTCGGAACAGAAAGAAAGGGTCTCGAGCCAATTATTATTCAGGGTCTTGTAGTACTTTCGCAGCAAATGTTTTTTTTTTCTCATATAAAAAGGAAAAAAATAGATACCACCTACGCCCTAGCCCCTAGTTACTATAAAACCAGTCTAAACTGAGAAGGAAAACAAAAGATTAAAAACAGGAAAAAAAAAAAAAAAAGAATATGCCACCTTGATAGCATGTATTAAATATATAAGAAAAACTTATCTAGCCAAACTTGACCCAACTACTAGTCAAGTGATTGATGACCAACCTCCAGCCTTGGCCAGCCGTGTTTTTCACCAAACATTATTGCTTTTTTATTTTAAAAATTATGAAAAAAATGAAAAACTACACATTTAATAATTGATATGGGAAAAGTATAGGGAAATTTAGGACTTATGAGCGGGTGATGATGGGTGGGCCGGGCTGGGCCAGATGATTCCTCTATTGCAAAAGATTTTATTAGGATTCAACTGTGATATCGGAAAGATATGATATCGAAAGATTTTTGACCATCAGGGAAATTCATAAACATGATAGCCAATCAAGTGTTATTTATCAAAATTCATTAATGGGTTTTGATTGATCAAAATTCTTTCAATACCGTATCTTTCCCATATCATATTTTCCCTAACTTTTAAACTTTTAAGTATATTGTCTCTGAAGTTGGCCATTTGGATTAGGATGCAATTTCATTTGAATCATTGCATATATAGATTCAGATAATTTCTTTAATTGACTGAAATTTCAAGTCAGTGGAAATATGGTGATGTTTGGCATTGATGATGATTCCTTACACCTAATTTTGTGAAAATGGTGATTACTGAAATTAGTAATTTTCCAAAAAAGCCAATTTTTTTAGAAAAATCACCTTTGAGTTTTGACATTCCAATTTTTTAGAACACCTTTCCACCCCTGCCACATAGGATGCCACCTCATCCAACAAAAATTAGAATCACCTGAAAATCAGGGAATCACTGATGAATGTGATGACCCCTCGCCCAAGCCGATTTCAGGGACCGATTTTTTGCTGATTTCCCAGAAATCGGCATAATCTGCCAACAAAACAAAGAAAAAATCACTGATTCTTCAATGTCTGATGTGGGTACAACGTGGCACCGATTTCTGGGAAATCAGCATCACTGCCAGCCAAACATCACCTAAATACAGTGGCATCTATGAAAAATAAAGAGAATAGACCTATATATAAAGGATCTGGGCATCAAAAATGACTCCAGTCCGAATTCAAGTTTTTTCTTTGATTTATTTATTAATTTTGTTTTCTTCTCTGTGTTACTGTGTAGTGTGATTCATTAATTGCACTATTTTCTTAGAAAATAGAAGCGCAATTTAAAGGATAACAAGAGAACACACATGAAATATCAAGTCGCATATAGGCCAATTCATCAACAACCAATTAATTAATTAATGAAAACTAAGCAAGAAAACCAAAAGCCAAAATCAGCACAAGTGATTGATATCCACGCTCTACAAACCAAAACGAGTTCAGAACTTCAGATAACAACCAACTAAAAGAAACCCGATCGATGTTTGTATTCAAACCAATCATAACTTCTTCAAGGATCGAACAACAAATCAATACAAAAACCAATTAAAACCAGAACGAATTCAGCTGAGACCATTCGTCTTAGTTGAACTTTCTTAGACATATATATGTATACTTTTACATTGCACCAAATGCAAATACCAATCAGAAAACCAGAACGAATTCAACTGATAAATTCATTTTGAAACGAACCCAAAACATGTTCAAATTTGAAGAGCAAAATCCAATTTATTCTCTATGAAGAAGTATCTGAACGTAAAGCTACTAACCTGGGCAGGAATTCTTGAACCAACAGTGTATAAAATTCGAGTGTTGTTCCCAGAAATGGCTCCAGATAATACTGACTCTGAGAGAGGATTGTATGCTCCACTGTAAGTCTTACACAACCATGCAAAACAGTACATGCTCAAGAGATCAAGAATATTCTCGATAACTTCTCCGCTGGGTTTAGACCCTAAACCCAGAAACTTACACACAAAGAATTTGTTGAGAGATCCAGACCATAGCCACGCGAATGAAATGATGAAATCCGATAATATGACTTGATTTCTGGCCATTAGTTGGTTTTTGCTTCCTCTTGTTCAGATTGTTCTTCTCTTGGCTACTCAAATATATATAGCAGTAGCAGCAGCAGCACAACTCCTCAGGCATCTTAGTTCTTTCCTGTTATCTTTTTGGGAAAATATAACTCTATATAGTTCATATTGACGTCAAGGAAAATCAATAAATTAAGAGGTTGTTTGCTTAATTTACTAATAAAAAGTCTTTAATTTGTAAAGGAGTTTGATCTGATAAGTTAATCGGAACCCTATTTGCCAGATCTGATACGTTAGTGCATATCGTGATTATATAGGTTTAACTGGCCAAATAAATGATCATATATAGGGTTAACCACATGAACCCTATTTGCCATTTTGTTCTATTGTTTAATGTCATATCTATTATTAAATTTTGAATATTTAAATCATTTCTTACTACTTGGCGGTCATGTCATTTTTTAACTCGCAACAGACTACTTCTTAAGGGTGTTGTAAGTGGTTTTTTATGCACATCATTAGACCATCTTAATCTACTTTCTCTTATTTTATCATTTATAGGAGTTATTTATAGGTTTCTTCAAATGATTTCATTTCTAACCCTATCCTTTCTAATTTTCCACTCATCCATATAAAAATCCGCACTTCTCCTATGCTCATTTTTGGACATGTTTATTAATTTCCCGACACTATATACAACATAGCCTTAGTTTTAGAAATTCATTTTTAATCTAGGTGGTATTCACCTATCACATAAGACTCTAGATAAACCCCTCCCATTTTGCCTATCTTATGCTAATCCTATGGTTGACATCCTCCTCAATCTCTCCCTTATTATGAATTATCAAACCTAGGGTGTTGTAAGTATGGTTAACGGAACACCCAAACCTTGAGGATTGTGGGTAGGAGTGCAACTTTTCCGGGTTAGGGTTGGGATTTTGGCAAAATTTCAATGGGCCCAACACAAAGCCCGAGCTCAAAACAGTGTAAACTGTTAACTCGGGCCAACCCGACTTGCACCCCTAATTGTGGGGCAACTAAGTGGGAGGCTTTCCACAGCTAATTTGTTAGAGATTTGGACGATATGTTCCTAGATTTGAAGGATGTTGAGGAATGGGCAGAAAAAGTTTGGCACTACCACTCAAAACCTTCAATTCAACAACGCATTAGGAGGAGAGTACTTTTGTTCTCAACTCAGAAGTCAGTGCCTTCAAGCTCAAGTTTATAATCCAAGTCATTTTAAGAGATGAGAACTTGATCTTAGACAATGTTCATCTTCAATCAACAAAGGTTGTATTTGGTATCATACTATCACTGCCATTTCAGGCTAAAATGTTTTGAATGGTGTGGGTGGTGCAAGTTTCAATGGTTAGAGGAGAAACCTGTTTGGTTAACACTTTATAAACTGTTTCAATAGCAATGTTGACTAGGAGTTTATAGTAGATATGTGTTTGGTATGTCCAATTTCACGTTGAAGTGTTTAAAGTAAACATTTTAATTTTATGTAACACCAATCACACTTCCAACTACTGTCATGCCAATCTAATTGACAAGAATTTTTTAAATCGAAGATTTCATTAGATTTAGGGTCCATTTGGTTTGCAGGAATAGGGGTCTGGAATCGGAATCGGAATGGGCTATTCCGATTCCAACTGTTTGGTTGGGCAGAATCGGAATCTCATTCCCATTCCTGCTGGAATGGCATTCTCCGGTTTGAGGGAATGGCCATTCCCTGCCCCTCCCTTGGGAATGAAATCTCATTCCTACTGATTTTAATTCTCATTCTCATTCCTGTTTGAACCAGACTATGGAAATGGATCATTCTGTTTCCAATTCTGAAGGATTTCAATTCCGTTTCCAACTATAAACCAAACGGACCCTTAATTTTTCCACAATGTAACACTAATCACATTGAAGTGTTGTATGATATGTAATGCATTGTATCAATTCATCACCATGCCACACCAAATGACAGGAAAGTTCCATATCAGTTAAAACATTGTGAGACGCAATGGTTGTTGGGGGAAACCACAATTTGACGTTTCCTCCAACACCCCCTTGTTGCTATTTTCAGAAATATATATATTTAGTTAGAAGTCTCAATCAAATAAAAAATTCCCATTGCAATCCCAACCGCCTAGGTGGCGCTGATTGGCAGGGTTTTAGATGGAAACGGCAATGGTACCAAACATACCCAAAGTATTTGCAATTGATGAAGATAGAGAAGTGGTAGCTATGGTTTTTGGGCTTCCAATACATATTTGGTGTTAGTCAAGTTTTAAAGTAATGGGAGATGCCCTCAATGGCTTTACTTGTGTCAACCCTAAGAATATGGAATAGAGTTCTCTTGATTCTCTTAGGCAAGGTTCAAAGTATCGACACGTATCGGACCATATTAACTAATACGTATCGTATCGGGAGCTTCCCAATACACCCCTACAGGGGGTGTTTCGGGGTCCCGACTGGTTTAGATGGTGGACGGATTTTAGTCTAGGCTTGCTAACATTTCTCTCAATCACCATGTTAATGGATGTGATAGGAAAGACATTCATGACCAAATTGGATGTCAAAGAGCCAAAAATGGTTAAAGATGATGTTAGGCATTGATAGTTTGTGGTACCCAACCAGCAAGGGAAGGCTGTTATTCTGATGACTAAACCTTAGGAGTAGAAATTTGTTTTGAAGCAAGGGGTCAGAGGTTATAGAAAACATTGATGGGAATCATCGGTTAGGGATTCAAGATCCATTTGGTTTGTAGTCAAAATCAGAATCGAAATCCATCAGATTTGGAATGGTCTATTCCCCTTGCCCGTATGGTTGAGATGAGAATTAGAATCAGCTGGAATGGATTCTCATTCCCAAAGGACGGGGAGGGATTAAGGAATTAATGACTATTTCCTCAAATGGGGGAATACCATTCCACTGGTAGGTGTTAATAATAATAATAATAATAATAATAATAATAATAATAATTATTATTATTATTATTATTATTATTATTATTATTATTATTATTATTATTATTATTATTTATTTGCATAGATTATATCAATTAAGTTGTTTCCTTTCATCTAAATTATTTTTTACATGAAATATAAAATGTTTATAATTGTTAGGTGATTAATTATTATTTTATTTAATGCTTAAACACCAAAGCTTATTGCTTATAAACTTCTAGTTTATAGATATGTGTACCTTCTATCATTTTAATTTAGTATATTATATGTTATTTTTATGAATTTACAAACTTTAATTAATCTTTTTCTTAAGCTTTAAGGCTTACGCCTCACCTTTTTAGGCCATTACACCTTAACTACGCCTTTTAACCTTTTAAAACCTTGGTTGTACTTAGACACTTGGGATCAAATAATCCCACCTACTGGTGAAAGTGGACTCAACTCCCAACTCCCTGTTGTAATTAGCCTAAGACCTTACTTGTCCTACTAGCATAGGAGAGCTTAGAGGGAAGCAAAACTGTGAAGAAAGTAATGAGAAAGTAGGTATATAGGTTTTTTTTATATTAATTATCTGTATAATTACCACACTACCCTTTCTCTCTCTCTTTCTTAAGGGTGGCTAATGTAATTACGTTGACTCTCCCAGGAACCCTAACAAGGTCACCTCATCTTTATATATAAAATTCCGCCACCCGCTTATAAGTTCATTGTCTCTTTTTTCTAAGACAAACTCATCTTTTTATTCAAGTTAATATTAGAATATTGAACTTTTTTTTAATGCTCATTATTGCTAGGAAAGAAACCCAAAGAAAAGAAAAATGACCAGGGCTTATTTGGACTGGTTCAAGTTATCCTTATCCGGATGATTCTGGCTCTTCAACTCTCACTTATTATTGTTCGCTATAGTCCTTAGAGCCTTTCTTTTTCAAGTGCCCGGTTTGATATAAAATCATCCGGATTAACCCATTTTGATGGGTTTCTACAACGTTTTAAAAAATGACTTAGAAATGAAATTATTCTGGCCACCAGTTTTTAGGTCGGTTGTCCAACCATCCGGTTCAAATGAATGGCGCGTTCTGACAAATTAATTAAAAAAATAAAAAAATAAAAAAATGGTCAAAAAACATTGAACAGGTTGATGGTTGGACCTCTTGGGTCAATGGGTTGTTGATTTTTTCAATGGTTTTTAGCCAAAGATCGGGTTAGCGTAAAATGGAACCGGTTGCCTGAATGGTTCCTAAGCCAAACAGTCTGACCATCCGGGTCAACGGCAGTTTGAAAACCTTGGGTTTCTGTACAGATGATTCGTAAAATAAGCTAATAATATAACTAAGAGTCTCTTAGAGTTCTCCAAGGTTGTGTGTAAGTACAGATATTAATTGAATTCGATAGCTGTGTTAGGGGCTGTGTAACCAATAATAATGCCCCCGGTTGAGACCGAGTCTGCTTCTCACACCGACTTCATAGGCACATCTCACCATGCATCGGGAACATCTCCTGCACATATCTTATTATTCATGGGAGACTTTCCTAATATATAGTATAGTAGAATATGCCTGTGAGGTTGATGTGAGGTGCGCTCTATGATAAGCAGATCTCAGTTCTCCCCGGCCATGTATTGAGTGGTTGTGAGATATATACACTTTACTAAATTTTATTATCGACTGCACCAATATTCCCTTTCGAAGCCAATAGCTCATGTGGGAGATAAGTTTGTATGGCTGATATACACTTCATGCAAGATACACCGACTTTGTCAGGATTGGAAGAGCTAAGCATCTCAAGACCCATGTTCATCTTCAACATTCTTAGTTGCAGGAAGACTAACTTGGAAAAAACTTGGCAATTTAAGGGCTTAATTCCATGTCTGAAGCTATTTTTCTGGAGACTAGTACATGATGCAATCCCTACCCAAGTCAAACTAAGTAAACATCATGTGACTTGAGATCAAAAGTGTGCTTTTTGTGAGGGTGAACTTGAATCTGTTGAACACATTTTTTTCAGTGTCTTTGTGCAAGATCCATTTGGCTTGAATTGGCATTACAGTTGAGGATGGATTCCAATTCTACAAGAAGTTTAGGGGAGTGGGTGGAGGATTGGTTGATTAATGACAATGGACAACAGGGGACTGCAAGTGTGGGTGTCATTAAGGTCACTGTGGATGGTAGTGGTACAGGAGTTCAGATTGGCACCTCACACGCGCATCTTATGACCGTGAATTGGGAACATCTCCTATACTTGTCATGAGAAGATGTTTCCAATACACGGTTGGGATGTACCGTGGGGTGTGCTCTATGGGGTGCCGATGTAGTTAGGGATCATTTGGAAAATCACTTGTTCCCAAGAGAACTACTAGTCCTGCATTCAAGGCAAGGAAGTGAAAACTTTTGATTTTTACACAATGGATATCTCTCAACCAAGATCACATCTCCGCCCCACAGAACACCCCCGCCCTGTATTGGGAACATCTCCCAATAATGACATCATCAGGACTAGTACTATCATCGAGAGATATGCCCAATACATGGTGGTGATGTGCTGTGGGGCGTTGTGGGGCGGAGATATGAACTCCTCTCAACCACCGTGGTGCATTCACACAGTGATTGCTGAATGCAGAAGATCAACGAACCTAGATTTCCTACTCACTTTTTCACGGCGGATAAAGTGTGCGTAGAGACTAGAGAGTAGTGGGCAGGAAATCCGGTTTGCCAACATGTAGTAGCAGATCTTGTACATGGTCTTGCTGCCCTAACTTTATATTTACCATTATATAAGATGATTTAGACCAAGATGAATGAAATGATTTTGTGCTACTATTGCACTTCAAAAGAAAAAAAAAAACAATGAAATGTCAATAAATTTTGAGACTTGAGAGTGATTACAAATTTAGCAGGCCCAAGAAAATAACTTGGATCCTATACATAGATTTTCATCATTCTATTTTGACCTTCCTGTCTAGTTCCTTGGGCCGAATGAACAACCTAAAAGTCCATACCCCTAAGAAAGTTGCCTTGATTGGGGCAAGCCAATAAACAAATATATGATTCATTGTGATATGATCAGATCGAGCATAAGCCCATCCCATGGCCTGGTCAAGCAAAGCATAACAAGCAGAATTGAACTGAGTTGCATGTTAAATCTAACAAGTAGAATTGCAGAAAGAAACATATAGGAAGTGCACACTTAGTGTTTGATCAAAGTACTCACATAGGCAGAGTTCATGCATCCACCAGTTAGATCAGTACCTAGTATATGAAGAGCTAGTTCACAAACACTTGATATCCATGTCTCTAGAAAGAAATTGTTGTTGTGGTTTTCTGAAGCCTCAAGGGAGATGACCACAATCAAGTATGTGAGAGCTCCTTCAACCAATGCACCTCGAAAAATGTCAACATTCAGGATGGCATCATGGTCTATTTCAGGAAAGGCCCAAATGATAAGTTTAACTGCAATAGTAGATCCTATTGCCTGTAATTGTGGAAAGATCCATTTAATGAAACATTCACCTCTAAATTGACAGGATATTTAAATTTAAGTATTTATAATATGCATCCCTATGCAATTTGGGTTGGGTTGGATTAAGCATTTGTTAAACTTTGAATTGGCCCAAATCATAGAGCATCAACAATCAGGCTTTACCCTCAAATGTTTTTTTTTCCTCATTATTTTGATGAACTTTTGAGGCTTTACCCTCAAGGCCCCATTTGCTTTTTGGGAAGTTACTTATCCATGCTTTTTTCAGATAAATAAAACAATGATCATTTTAGCTATAAAAAGCCATACTAAAAGGGACAATTTTATCCCATCCAAGTGTTGATAATTTTCCCATGAGGGAAAATTACTTACCCACCCCGGAGTTGGGTATCACTTAGCTGGGTAAGTAATACCCAATGAAAATATACTTTCCATGGGACCTACATAAATCTGAAAAAAGATCAGGGAAAATATATCTATGGTTAGGTCATTCGATTTTGGTCAGTTTACAAATGCTAAAGTTAAATTGCTCCAACTTGGTCGGGTTGGAAAATTGTCGAACCAAAACCGTTTGAAAATACTAGAAAACTGACTTGGTCGGGTTTGTCGATTCCATTAATTTGATGGACCACCCTAGATGAAATTAACTACTATCATTTTTGTATTGTAAAAAAAAAACTTATTAAAAGTAATATATATAATATAAATAATTATTAATTATTTAAAAAATTAAAAATATAAAACAATTGTATATTCTTATGTGTTTCTATTGTTTAACTTTCACTTAACCAATCCTGTGGATCACGTTGGTCCCCACTACTAAGAAACTTAAAATTCGATGTTTAAAATACACTTGAGTCAAACTACAAGAAACAAAAGCCGATTTTAGTGCTGACCAACAAACTAAACCCAACCAGATGTCACAGATCCCATATTGATTCTCAATTGGCAAGTTCAATTCCATAAAAAAAAAAAAAAAGAAAAAAAAACAATATTTGATCATAACAAATTTCTAGGACAAACCAAAAAATCCAAGACCAAAATCAGTAAAAGCGAATCAATTCTACACCCCACAAACCAAACCAGATTCAGAAAACAGAACTGCTTAATACAAACAGAGCAAAAACTCATCTTCTAACAAAACTGCTTAATACAAACAAGAAAATAGTCCACAAACCACGGAATTCAGATAAACCCAAGTGAAACAAACCTGGCTAATGCATATTTTAATCAAACAAAACCAATTCAAACACCTAAAATCGATTTAACTGAAGATAGAGAAGAGCTAACCTGGGTGGGAACTCTTACTCCAACCGCAAACCAATACCTTGCGTTGTCCCCAGAAATTGCATCAGACAGGACTGAAACTGAGAAAGGATTGTAAGATCCACCACTGCAATTATTCCCCAGCCACGAGAAAAAGAATATACTCAAAACGTACAGAGAGCCCTCCATGATTTCTCGTATGGGTTGCCCTAACGCCAGATAATTGTACAGAAGGATCTTGGTGAGACCACATGACCATACCCACATGAAGGAAATGATGAGATCCGACAATATCAATTGAACTCTGGCCATTAAGCATGTAAATTTGTCTCTTGTCATTGAAATTTTTGTTTGTTAATGGCCATGTAAAGTAAGAAGAAGAAGAAGAAGAAAGAAAGAGAAAGAAGATAATGAAGCAGGGAGAGTACTTTTGACTAGTTATTTGATTTCTCTCTTCTTTTTTTTTCTTTTTTTTTTTTGTTGAGGTTGGTATCTGACCTGGTCTCCGTCTCTCACTTTTATCTTGTTGATGTTCTTAGCAAATATATTATAAACCCGGACTCTTTAATTTTTCTATAGAAAACAGCTAGATGCTTCAGCATTTGGCAATTTTTTCAGATTCTTGCTTACCAAAAATAATCATGGAGGTAGTTAACGTTGGTCATCCCAGGGACCAGCTTTTCCAAACCCAAACAAAGAAGGGAAAAAAAAAAAGGAAAGAAAGACGAAAGAATTGTGGGCCCGTACCCTAGAATCCATGCCCTTTGTGACTCGTGAAATTGCTATTTAATTAGGGGTACAACTTGGGCAGACCCAACCCAAAATTGGAAAGACCAAATTTTTCATGGGCCAGGCTTTTAGTTTTGGTCCTCAGACTAGGCCTGGCCCCAAATGTTCAGGCTTTAAAATTTTGGGGTTGAGCTCAGGTCTAATCTTTAAGTACCCTAAACCTGGTCTCATATATAGATGTATATATGCACTCTGGATTTCTTATTCACAATTCTCTACCCGCTTTGAATTCCAGCCACACATCACTGTCTTGTATTGTGAGATGTGCAGCTGCAGTGGGTAGGGCGTGGGTAGAGAAAGTAGGAAATCTGGATTCGTATATATGCATATATGGGCACATTTGCATGGGTTCAGCCTATCTGAGTGCATCAAATTTTAGTGTGGGCTGGGCTTGGGTTGAATAGTTGAGGCTTGACCTGGGGCTTGGGCTAAGCTCAAGCTGTAGGCCTAATTCTTAGGGGTCTGGGTTGAGATAAACCCCAGGCAGCCCGCCCAACTTGCACCCTTATATTTGAACTCTTTAATTAAAACCAGGAGGTATAACTTAGGCGGGATAATATAGAACTCATGTAACAAAGGCAAGTAATCGAAGTGTGGTGTATTGATCGATTTATTTTCTTTTAATCTAAAAAAAATGTTGAGAAATACATAATATCATTTCATTAATAAAGATATCTATTATTTTTCACACTTATTTTTTTAATATAAAGAATAGAATATTAAAATGTCTCCAAATTTTCCTATAAACTTTCAACATTTTTCTATAATTTTTGCATTTTAATATATTTTTTATTTTTTATTTAATTATCACGTCATGGGGTTGTTCCATTTGGCTCAAATAATTGAACTATTTACTAACAATCGTACAAAAAATATTTAATCTTTGGGTTAATTTTAAATTTTGTGTTTCATTTCCATCATTTATAAAAATAATTCTTGTTCATCATACTTCCTATTTAATATGATGGACATATAATATTAGAGACGTCTACAAAATTTTTCTATAAGCTTTAAGCATTTTCTGTATTTTTTATATTTTTGTCTATTTTTAATTATGACATCATGGATTAACCCATTTAACTCAAATGGTTGAACCACTAAACCCACCACTTCGATGAAAAAGCGATTTCTCCTCTAGGTTGGTTCTAATTTTTTATTCTATTTCCATTATTAATAAAAATATAGACTTTATTAAGAGAAATTGAAGCAGGAGCCCTATGACACTCTCAACTAGGGTGATCATGGGCTAAGCACCCACAATAAGGATTATACCTCAACTAGGCCAGGTCTATGCTAAACGAGACCAGGTTCACTCAAGCTTTAGGCCTACATTTTTAAATAGAATGTTTTTAATATATAAAATTGTATATTACGTTACATATAATATATGAATAAATTATATGATATAATATGTATTATGTGTCATTTAATAATATTCATAAGTAGCTTTCAAGAAAATAATATTCATATATATAATATATAATATAATATAAAACATATATATGTATATATGAAGTATGCTATACATTATATATCAATATATTGCATGTCGTGATCGCCTTAGGCTAGGGTAGGCTAGGTTTGAAGTATTAGGCCTTAGGCTAGGGTAGGGTAGGCTAGGTTTTCGGGATGGAACCTTATTGAGAGTGGAATGGCCAAATTTTTCAATAGTTTTTATTTATAATGTAATTTAAATGGGCTTCCTATTAGTACAAGTAAATTAATGCATTTTTAGTAATTGTTATTAATTACTTTATATAATATTTAGTTTTATTAATTTTTAGTAATAAATATTTAAAATTTTATTAATGTAATTATTTTAAAAACAATAATTAATAATTTTTATTAGTAAAATTAATTTTATTAATATATATTAATTTTAATTATTTTCAACAGAATTTAAATGGGCTTAAAATTATAAGTTCTTATTAGAATAACAATTAATAATTATTAGAATATTATATAATTAGTTATAATTATAATAATATTTTATAATTAATTAATTATTATTATTATTATTTTACTATTATTAATTATATTATTTTATTATTTGTTACTTTTCTCTTAATAATTTTCTATATATATTTTTTTATTTATCTTATTTTAATATTTATGTTTTAACTTAAACATTAATATTTTTTAATACACTTTCTTGATGGAAAACTAAATGCATGTATTTGGATGGTGGAGAGAGAGAAAGAGAGAGTTAGAAGAAAATGTTAGATGGTGTTATTGGGAATGTGAGATAGGTTTTTTTTTTGTAAATAAATTTGACATAGTTTATGAAAATTTTTAGGATGGGAGATGTTTTAGAGATTTTGTTAAAAATACAAATAAATTAAAATTGGAGAAATACTAGAGAATGAAGGAAAGGGGATGTTGACATGAACAACTGCATATGGACAAGAGGAAATTGGATGAAGTGAAAAATGATAGTCCATATTTTGTTTTTTGCCTTAACAATTAGAGAGCCATCAAAATTAACAATGAGAGTATTTAGTCAAAAAAATTCACAAAACTCATTTGTCTTTTCAATAGTAGTATAGATCAATGTTCAAAGTATCAACATGTATCGGCCCGTATCGACTGATACATATTGTTCCGGGACCCCTCTGATATGCCCCTACAGTGGGTGTATCGGCGTTTGACCGGTTCAGGGGGTGGAGGAGCCCTAAACCGGCCCCCTAAACCGGTTGCAAAAAGAAATAAAGAAAAAGCACAAAATGCTGTATTGGTTTGCCCGATACGCCCCTACCGACGTATCGGGTGTATCGATATTTTGAACCTTGTTATATATATCTAATAATTAAAAAGATAAACCCAAAACTTATTTCAAGAGAAACACCCAATTGATAATTTATAGCCTTCTCAAAATTTCTAACTAATCAAAGCGATCTAGGAAAGGGGAGAGGAGATTATTACCACAGAAAATTATAATTTTCAATTTTAAATAATTTTATTATTTAATTAAAAAATAATGATAATCATATATTAATTCTAATTCCATTTTCATCAAATTATAAAGTTTTTATTTTTATTAAATATATGTGCTTATATATACTTTAATAATAAAATTTAGTAAGTTATACTTCCTAACAACTCTATTTTCTTTCCTCCCACTGATTTAATTTACAAAATCAAGTTTACTAATTAACTAACATATGGGGCCATTAATTACTAATTAGAAGCATCCATCAAGGTTGTTTACACGACAATTCCCTGGGAATTTGCTCAGAACTTTCTTGATTTGCAAGCTTACATGCTTTTTAATTTTTTATGTAGATTATAAATTAGCAACTTGAGTATTATGGCATCTGCACCAAATTAACAAGGCTTAATTATGAGAAAAGGGTCTCTGTCCCATTCAATATCAATTATTGTAATACATCTACCCACTATATTATATCTTATATGATAGACACGTAAGTTTACATTTATGCATTGATAAATGAACACAAATTTACTTTTTTTTTTATTGATGTACTTTTATATCTTATTATCAATGTAAATATGCATTGGTCTGTCATTTGTCAATGCATAAATATAATGTTACCAAACAAAGACAAAAGTGAACCGAAGTGCAAATTTAGCCTGAACTGGGATTTACACTCCATTTGCATTGTTTCCAAATGCAGCCTGAGCAGTGAAGACATCATTTTGGATATACAAACTTTAGAGTGTGACTAAAAAATAACTATTTAGGATGTGGACTATGCCCAAGCAACAAAAATGAGAGAAAGAGAGAGAGAGAGAGGGGAACAAGTCTGTTGTGTGAACACTAAGTGTGACTGGAATATTTGGTTATTATCTTGTCATGGGGAGTTGTGAATTTGTGCATACAAAATATGAACTCCCACTTGAGATATAGCTGAAAAATGTTAGTAATATGCATGACAGTAGTTAAGTAGCAATTGGGGGAAGGGAGGGGNGGAAAGTTTGTTTTTTATCTCTTTTCTTTATTTCAAGTTTTGACTACATTTGGTTTCGATTACATTGCATTCTAAGCTCTCTTTTGTTGTGTTTAATTATTTACTTAAAATTTACATTTATATGCATTCTGTTGGCTAAGAGAGGAGGTAGGAGGGGGTTGGATGGAGTTGAAAGTGTGGTTTTGGTTTTTGTTTTTAGTTTTGTTTTATCACTGGTTTTCTTTGAAAATTTGAAGTATTATGAAGGGCAAAATAGTCTTTCCATTGATTCAGTAAAATCTAACTTTCACAAGTTATGTTTAAGTCCATCCAAAAACCTTAGGGTGTGTTTCTCATACCTCAGGGGTATGTTTAAGTCTTTTACCCTTATAATTAAATTTATAAAAATAAAAAACCAAATATGTGTATTATTTTCATAAAACTAAATTAATTATTGTAAACTAAAACGTGGTTCGCAAAAAACCTTTTCTCCTTTCTCTACGATGGTAGCCTTGGCATTTTTAAGATGGTACTTGGTATATATCGAACTATCGATGGCATTTTTCAGAGCAATGGTGCTAGTTCAGCATCATGTAGGCATTTAATAAAAAATGCCCAATTAGTTGTTTGTTGGGTTGTTTAAATGATAAAAGTTTCTCTGGTTTGCTGAGAGTTGTTTATCAAAAAAAATCAATTTATGGTGATGATCATAACAACAACAGCAATAACAATACTACTACTACAAGTTTAGAAACACAATATTTATTATTATTATTATTTTTATTAGAAATGTGTCCAAATTTTTTGTACAATTTCTTTTTGTATTTTTGTATACTTTTGTGTTTTTTTTTTATCTTTTCTTAATTTTATTATTATTTACTATGACATCAAGGATCAACGCATTTTGACCCAAAAGGTTAATTACATTGTTGACTCGCTATCATATAAGAAAAAAAATAATCCATTTTTGGGTTGGTTTTATATTTGTATTTTATTTTTATCATAAAAAAAATGATTATTCTTTGTTACATTTATTTTTTTTTAATTTAGTTAATTAATATAGGATTAAATGAAAAATGGGAGTTAATGCCCTACTATAAGACTTAATGTAGGAATTAAATGAGGAGAAATGTAGTAATTAAAATTACATTTTGTGCCTTAAAAATTAGGAATAAACCAAATTCAGAAATAGGGGTATTTTAAACAAAAATAGGATTCAATGAATGTTAGCATACTTAATGGGAGGGATTTGAATGAATAGAAAAGCAATTGTTCAAATTACATTTTTGTCCATACAATTCAAGAGGGACTAAATTCAAAAATTGGGGTATTTTAATCAAACAAAAGTTCTACACTCTCATTTACACTTTTAATAGTAGTAGATTTGGTGCCCAATGGTGTTGAATTTGTAAAAAAAAAAAAAAAAAAGACATTTAAGCAAATATTGTCTCGATTTTTAAGATAAGATCGTACAATGCTATCGATACCAAACATCCCCAATGTAATGGTGATGCCATTGATCAAAATGCCTCAACGGAAAAACTCCCTTGCACTTCTCCCGTTCAAATGCCACAAACCCCCATGTCCTAAAACATGGCTCTCAAGCCTCAATACCCATCCATGACACTGATCTTGAACTTCTCCCGCTGCACTCCCAACACCTCCACAAACTGCACCTTCACCTCTTATTGTGTGCATAGCAATATCAGTCAGCTTCAACGAGTCTCACATTTCTTTCTTCATTGCAGCAGGATGACCCCATTGGAAATCTGTCCCCTATTGACTATTAGTAGGAGGGCTACATAGCAGAGCTAAGTAATTTTTACTATGTATACAAGTATGGTTGTAGACACTTGTTTCAAGCAAAATTTATACGGCAAGTGCATGTAACAACTTCATTATTCAAACTTCTAACTTTGAAATTCACTCTTATTCATTTTCGGGCCTTGCCCACTTCTTGTACATTCAAGATATGCATACAAACAAGCCTCAATGGAGCATTTGTAGGCACATAAAATTGTATGCCACGTGTCTACATTACAAATGGGTTGGATTTACAAATTCAAGATAGAAGCCCAAGCTTACAAATAACTCAAGTCCAAATTAAATGGGCCTTGGCCACGCCCAATTTTACAAATCAAAGTCCAAATTCAATGGATTCAAATGGGACCTACTAAAAAGTCCATAAACTTCCCGAATAATATAGAAAAAAAACATGGATAAAAATATAAGGCTAAGTAAACCCTATTCAAAATGGTTATTAGAGACCTAAGTCTATAGATAAGGAGAAAACTTATTTTCTAATCACATGGGCCCCAAGTTGAAGGTTGAGACCAATTAAGACTTTTTCAACCCACCTTTATAAAAAGGTTTTCATTCATAAAGAAATGACCTTTTTCCAACACATAAGAGATGGAGAACGAGAAAAAAGCTCCAGAGACATCCATTTACAAAAGGCCTTTAGAATTCTTCATCATCAAAAGCTCTAGATATAGATGGATTAACTGGAAATTTCCAAGTAATTTTACCCACAAGATGAATGTGGATAGGGCTTGTCGCGGCAATTCTGGTGAAGGAGGAGGTGGGGGCTTACTTAGAAACACTTTTGGAACTCTATTATTTGCTTTTCACTGTTACTATGGTCAGTCTACCTATATTTAAGCAAAACTTTTAGCTTTGTATGATGGTCTAAACCTTTGTTTGTTTGCAAAGAGGCTATAAAGAGATTGAGGTTGAAAGTAATAACGGGATAATTATTGACATTCTAATGGGTAAATCAGATTATCCTTGGAATTTTGTTTACATCTTGCATAGGATTAAGAACTTAGTGTAGACAATGAATATTAGGTGGACCCATATCTAACAAGAGGGAAATCACTGTGTTGATCTCCTAGCTAACAAAGGAATTGATGAAAAATGTGCGCTTAAGGTGATAAATGGTAATTCCCAAATTCCTAGAGATTTGACTCATCTTCTTCACGAAGATAATTTGGGTTTGCCTATCCTTATATTAATTAGGTTTTTCTAGGCATTGTTGCTTTTTTTTTCTTTTGATGGGATTGAGATGGTGAGGGAGAGCTATGCAAGATTGGGTTATGGGGCAAAGCGGGCTAAGTCCTCCCCTATTATTACAAATTTTTCCTTTAAAAGTGGTTAATAAAATTTAAGGTGGTCGCCCCTCCACCTGGAGTAAGTTTAGGGTTAAAAAAACTCAAGAAATCCTTAGATTTTCTTTACAAGAGACCTCTAAAGGTACAACTACTATAAGATCCACATGCATCGGTTCAGGAGGAAGCTTCATCAACTCTTGGATTGTGCACACTTCCAGATTCATCGAATAACAAGTTTTTCAGGCCTTCATATTAAATCTTTAAAGAAAAGAGTTAGAGGATTCCTTATTATAAAGAGGTTAAATTTGTATCCTAATTTACTAAATATCAAAGAATTTATATTTCTAGTCTTTTTTTTTTTGGATTTTTGAATAAGAAATTTGTGCTGACAAAGCTGATTGATCAATTGAGCCTAACTCGAGTGCAACAAATTTCAATTCAAGCCAGCCTCGGGTTGGATAGTTTTGGCTTGACCTTTGCTTTAGGCTAAGGTCTGGCTCAAACCTTAGGTCCAATTCTTAGGGTTGGGCCTAGGTTGAGCTTAAACCTACCCCAAACCGCTTGACTTGCACCCCTACTTGGTTAGGAGTTCAATTGCTTTGATACTACTCCCTTGTTTCCTTTTAGGAAGAAACACAATATTTATGAAACAAAAATTTATATAAATCGGAGTAGTAAGTGGCAAGGGTGGAGTCTTTATTGTTTAGGAAATACTTGGATCCTACAATGTTGGAGGAAACATGCCTTGCCATAGCCATTTTGTACACTAATTGTAGGGTTTAGGATTTAAGTCTTTAGAGTTTAGATTTTAGGGTTTAGGGTTTAAGATTTAAGATTAATGTTTAGAGTTTAAGGATTTAGATTTTAGATTTTAGGGGCTTAGGGTAGGGGTGAAATTGAGGCGGGTCGATCTGAACATTGGCATGTCTAGGCTCAACTCGACTAAAATACTATTAGGTTCAAGTTTGAATCAAACTTTATTTTTTTTTGGTTTGAGCTAGATTCAATTAAATATCTGATGAGCTCAAGTTTGGATATTTTATATTTTGTAAATATATGTGATATTTTTATAATATATAGTATATTCTTACATTATATATAAATTATAATATATATTTTATATAAAAATATTATAGTCGAGCCAAGCTCATGGTCTTTTAAGCCAAACTTTTGATTGATTAAACTAAATTTTGAATAACTAATCGAATTTACCATGAGACTTGAGCTCGATATGAACTTGACTAGAATCGAACTTAAATCATACCTAATCAAGCTCAAGCCCAAACTGTTGAATTAGAGCTCAATTAAATTGCACCCATACTTTTAAAGGTTGGTTTAGTGTTTCCTTACAAAAAAATTAAGGTTTAGGCCTTGTTTGGTTTACGAGAATAGGGGTCTGGAATCGGAATAATAATGGACTATTCTGATTCCAAATGTTTGGTTGGATGGAATAAGAATTCCATTTCCATTCCTACAAGAATGCCATTCATTCCTCGTGCCTCCCTTAGGAATGAAATCTCATTCTTGATTATTCCAATTCTCATTCCCATTATTGTCTGAACCAAACAAATTATAGGAATAGACCATTTTGATTCCGATTCCAACTGCAAACCAAACATACCCTTTGGTCTGTTTGGTTACCGAGAAATGATGAGATGAGAAGAGAAAATTTATTTTCTCAATTTTATCACCTGTGTTTGGTTGCCGAGACTAGTAATCCTACCAAATCCATTTCAAAATTTGGTTGCCGAGAAAACATTCATTCATCTAAGACGACGACATACATTTGTTGGTGATCTAACACAGGGTTTTAGATATGAGACGACGACATACATTTGCTGGAGACGGCTGCTTCAGCAGATCTAATACAGGGTTTTAGATCTAAGATGACGACATACATTTGCCGGAGACAACGACAACGGAGACGATGATGATGGGGTTGTGACCATTGGAAGGCTGGAGCTCAGAGATGACGACAAAAATGATGACGGAGACAATGACGATGGAGATGATGGGGTTGTGACCGTTGGAAGATTGGAACTCTGAGGCAATGACAGAAACAACAACAGAGACGTTGATGACGTAGACGGTGGGGTAGTGACTATTGGAAGGCTGGAGCTCGGTTAAGACGATAGAGACATGCCTCGACAATATTTTTCGCACAAAGCTTCTCAATATATTCGTTTCTCAGTGAGATCACACTTATTTGGTGAGACCCCACATCCTTAAATTTGTGATATGATTTCTCTTTAGATCTCATTTTTTCACCCAAAATAAATGTGAGAAATGAAGCATCTCAAGGAGATATTTTTATTTTCTCGTCTTAGTCGCGTCAATAAATGGACATTAATATTGGGCTTAGGGTTTAGAGTTTAATTTTAGGGTTTAATATATAGGTTTAAAACTAAAATCTGTAGTGGTAGGCCGCATGTAGTAGGAGCCAAGTGTCGCCCATGTTCTGTGTACAAGTTCGTGATTGAGCATTTGAGCTTCAAAGTGTCAGACTCCACGAAAGGCAGAGGAGAATGAAGATCTCCCTTTCTTTTAAATGAATGAGATTATACTATATTGGATTCCCATTCAAGTGCCTTCTGAGTTACTGTTGATGCATAAGCCTCCCAGAAAAACAGTTTCTTTGCCAGGGTTTGTTACCAAGCAAACAGAGCCAAGTTTGTTCCTATGAAGCTTGTATGCCACTCTCTCTCACTCTCTCTTTCTTTATCTTTCTCTCTTTTGTGTGTATTTCTATGTGTCGGTTTTCATATTTCTAATTTTTCAGACGTGTTTGAGCAAAGGAGAGGGTTTCTATTTTCCACCATGTCACATGCTCAATATCTGCGGGTTTCGGGTCTTGCTTGACTGCCCAATAGATCTATCTGCTCTCACAATATTCTCACCTATTCCTATTGATTATGATGGTGAAGTTTCCAATTACTCAGCACAAAATTTGAATTCTGCGGATGGAAAAAGTAATAGAGTCGAAAAACCTCTTGAAGCAAGCGATTTAATAAGAGCGGTTCCATGGTACAAAACTGTTAAAAGCTTGCACTTATGGGATGTTTCGTTCATCGATATTGTTTTGATTTCAAGCCCGATGGGAATGCTTGGGTTGCCGTTTTTTACTCAACTTAAGAAATTTTCTGCTAAGGTAAGCATACGAGTGTACATAAGTCATGCTATTTCTGCTTTATACAAATAAGTTCTGAATTGCTTGTTTTCGAGTGTAATGTGTCAGATATATGCAACAGAGGCAACTGTGAGGCTTGGGAAGCTTATGATGGAAGACCTTGTTTCAATGCATGCAGAATTTAGGCAATTTTATGGACCTGAGGAGAATGGTTTCCCTCAGTGGTTGAAATGGGAAGAGCTTGAAATGCTTCCATCAGCATTGAGGGTGATTGCAATGGGGGAGGATGGGGCAGAGTTGGGCTCTTGGAAACCTTTGTATAGGTAAATGGCGATGTTTCCATTCGCTTTGGTCTTCTGGTACTGGTAGTCTAATGTTATGAATTTGATTTGACAGTTATTCTAAAACTATAATCATGTTTTGTAAGTTAGAAGCTTACAACTAGAGTAATTAAAGTTTTGTAAACTGAAGATATTTTTAATGCGATGGCACATTCCATCTGAGTTCAGTTAAAAATGCTTTACATTGTGTGCCTTGCTGACCAAATATCACTAAGCTGTATATGTTATCTTACTTACATCACACCTTGTTTGTTGAGTCATGTGTTTTTAGCAAATATTTCAGTAGAAATGCCTCTTTATCATTACAAAAAACATTACATGCCACTAGATGACTAGAAACCACGAGAAACCATCATATGCGTGAGTGTGTGGAATACGATTCCTCTGGCTCTACTGTGGGGTGTATGGTTAGGAATGCAAGAGCTTTTGGAGATAAAGAGATAGCTAGTTGTAGTGGTTAAGAAGGTGGTTGGCATGTTGTTCACTTGCATATTGGTCATAAAACTTCCAAAGGAGTCTTATACAGTTATTTTTTTGACTCTAATACTCTGCTTTCTAAACAGAGGGCTTGAATACAAGATGTAAAATCTCATTATAGAGCACCTTATTTTACAAGGGTTTTTGTTTGAACAGTCCCCATAGAAATATTCATTTATCATGCATTGTAACATTGTGCCATAAAAAATGTTTTCTAATGAATATGGTAAATTCTTGGTTGCCTTTTTTCAAAAAAACAGGGTAAATTCTCCATGGTATATCAGATTTTCTTTTGTATCAAGATTGGTTGATGCATGCTTTCTTCTTAGCAGCTTAAATTTCTTTATATATTTTAATTTCTTTGTGGATTCAATAAGTGAGATGTCAGTGCAGCACACGTGAAGGAGTGCATTCAGAAAACTCAGTCCCTCAAGTATGCTGAAGAAGTCTACCATAATGGGACATTGGTCATAAAAGCATTCAGCTCTGGCCTGGAAATAGGTGCTTCTAACTGGGTTATAAATGGTCCAAAAAGAAACTTCACATGGTTATCAAGCTCCATATTTGCATCCAGACATGCAATGGGATTTGATTATAATTCTCTTCAAGGGAATGGTGTAATCTTGTTTTCAGATTTCTCATCCATGTGTGGCAATGTGAGTGTTGGTATCAATGCTTATAGAAGTATGAATCAGATACGGCCAAAGGTCAACTCTCCAACTGGTTCTGATTTCTCAACCCTGAGGTATAATATTACATATTCCAGCAATAATTTAGAGGGAAGATTTCCTACCCCCCCTTTTGATCAGTAGATCTTCTTATCCTTCAGATTCATTGTATTTAAGAAAATTTGCCATCGCTTTGTCTTTGTTTTTTTTTCCTTCGGCAGGGATGGAAACAATAGTAAGGAAGATTTCATTAAGTCAGTAACTGATACTGGTGAAAATACAGTGGAAATAGACAAGCTTGCTTTCATATGCTCTTGTGCCATAGATTCTGTCAGGGAAGGAGGTTCTGTCCTCATACCCATTGGTCGTCTTGGTATTATACTTCAGCTTTTGGAGCAGATATCAATATCCCTGGAATCTTCAAATCTAAATGTACGCTCACTAAATTTTTTGTTCTTAACTTATACATTACTACAATAAGCCATACTAGATATTTAGAAGTTTTTTTTTTATTAGAAACTCATGGATTTTTATTAGAACGTAAAATGATAAAAGTACAACAAGTAGTTATTAGAAATAACACCCATTACAACAAAGAGATCTACCACCCGTCTAACATTGAGCCCAAAGCAAGTGATGACTATTCACTCCTTGTTTAGCTAATCCATCTGCCAATCCATTAGCAGACCTCCTAACCCATCTTAACTGAATTTGCATATGTCTTGACAACATCTGGAACCAATTAAATTCATTTCTAAAGTGCCATAATACCCTTCTCCTTTTTTTCAGCCAGCCAATGACTACTTTTGAGTCCCCTTTTACTAGCAACCTTGTAATTCCCATTTTCCCATTTAGCTTTCATAGAATCACCCTGTCCAATAGGCCTCGAAAACCCATAAATGTTCCCATGCCCATCCCTAAACATTCCTACAATTCCAGAGGGACCTGGATTGCCAAAACTACTTCTATCAAAGTTGTTTCATCCAACCTCCACTTGGGAGATACTTAATCTCCAAAACCTTTTGAGTCCTAGAAGAAGAAAGATCAATTGACCCCCAGCTTTGAAAAAAATCTTCCATTGAGAAGTTAGAGAATAGTTCAAAGTCTTCACCCAATAAGCAACTCTATCTGTAACAATCTCCAAGATAACTTCCTTGTTTCTTTGTTTATCCTCAAAGATTCCTTTCCTCCCAAATCCCAAATAGTCCACACAATTGCTGCCCTAGCACATTTCCACAAAATCCCGCCTCTTCTTTTTGTGCTTCTTAGAAAGGATGGGCAAAAGAGTTTTTCCAAACTAACAGGAGAGATCCACCTAAACCAAAGAGAGAGCAAAACCACTCCCAAACTAACAGGAGAGATCCACTTGCCTCTATCAGAGTTGTTGTTGCTTCTTGAAAGAGTCTTCTTAGAGCCTCCTAAACCTCCTCCATGGAGCTCTCTAACAATCTCTTCGCGTAGAGACCCCTTAGGAATGCATAACTGATTACCTTTGAAAAGGTACCTATCATGGACAACATATTGCAAGCTTCTTCCATTTCCTACCCCTTCCAGTTCCTTCATTGTTTAGATGAAAAATGGATCATTACTGACGGAGGGAGATTTGGCCCGACCCCTTGGCCGCGCGACACGTGGAGGCAACCGGGTATGACATGGCAGGAGCATCAGCTCGGCACAGCGACATAGCCATAGCCCAAGAAGAGGCCCGAGCTCCCCAACGAGAGGCCCCGAGCTCCCCAAAGAGAACCCGTGCTTCCCAGGAGGTAGAACCCGAGCTTTTTTTAGAAATCCCGAGCCCTACAAGGAACACCACGAAAGGCAAAGCCCGGACTGACCCACCTCGGGTAAGTCCGGGCCACGCTCTTGTCAGAACTCAAGACTTCACCTCATGCACCACTCCGGCACCTCGACTCCAGGTCGCGTGACTGAACGACCGTACCTGACACCAAAGAAGTCCGTACTCTGAGGCGGCGCGCCTGACTGATCAGGGATCTGACACATGACAGCCGCACTCCAACGACCATCTGCTACCGCCATCCTAGTCGTTGCAGAGATGGCTTTGACAGAGAAGACAGTGGCGGTTATGTTTGCCCCCCGCAGAGGCGGTTACACCTGATCTGGAAGAGGCTTGGGAGTGAGTGCACCAGGGCGGTTATAAAAGGCCCTATTCTCCCTTGCTTTCTCAGAGTGCTAACTTGAGCGTCGGAGCGTTCCCGCCGGGTTCTTCCCTCGGGGATCTCTTGTTTCCTCCCTGTTTCAGGCATCTCTCGCTCTGTCAGAGGCAAGGTTACCGGCAGCTAGGACCGACCGGATCGCGCATCATCAATTACCATACTAGGTTTTCAACTCTTCAAAGCCCAAGACTTGTGTACGTAACACATTCAGCTGTAGAACCCGCCGATTAAGTGAATCGACAACCTTATTTGACACCCCCCCGACTTATGTTTTGGTGAAAATGTGAATTCTTGTAAGTAGGAAGTCCACTTGGCATGTCGTGGGCTGAGATTCTTTTGTGAGTTCAAGTACCGTGGGTCTTGATGACCAGAAAACACAACAAACTCCTTGCCTATCAAATAATGTTTCCAATGTTGTAGAGCTGTCACCATGGCATAAAACTCTAGATCATATGCAAAGTACCAATGCTTAGCATCAATTAGTTTCTCACTAAAAAAGGCTACTGGTTTATCTTCTTGGCTGAGTACTGCACCAATTCCAACTTGTGAGGCATCACACTCCACTATAAACAGCTTATCAAAACTTGGTAAGGCAAGTATGGGAGCTTCAGTCAAGGCCTGTTTGATCTATTGAAAGGCTTTGTCTACTGATTTTGTCCACACAAAGGTAGATCCTTTCAAAATCTCCATAATGCAGTTCATTATGGAATTAAGATTGCGTATACATCTGTGGTAGGAGGCTAAATCATGGAAACTGCACACTTCACTTAGTGATTGAGGTGTTGGCCACTCCCTAATAGCTTTCACATTCTCAAAATCTGGTTGTAACCCTTATGCAGAAACCGCATACCCCAGAAAGACAACATCTTTTTTTCGATAATTGAAAATGATTTCATTAAACAAAAGGAACAAGATTTTACAAGAATCCCTTGGAGAGGCATGAGATGCAGCCTCCCATAACCATTACAAGAGATCAGAAATAAAAATACAATGCTGCCCAGAATAAATAGTCCCTAGTAGACCCCTGTTTAGCAAGATGATCAACCAAAGCATTTGCCTCCCTACCCACCCACTGATACCTACATGCTATGTCCTTGTTAAACATTTAACCTTTTTGATGAGATCCCTATAACTCTAAACAACTGAGTCTGGATTTGACAACCAGCCCACAATCACCTTAGAATCCCCTTCAATCAATAAGTTCTCCACTCTTAGTTGACTAGCAATCTGAATTCCCTGTACTGCAGCCAATATCTCAGCTCTTGTAGAGTCCCCTATCCCTATCGGGCCTGAGAATAAGGATATGATGTTGCCATTTTCATTCCTCAATACTCCTCCAATGCCAGACGGTCCTGGGTTACCATGGTTGCTTCCATCAAAATTCAATTTAAAAAAACCTTATGGGGGAGTTACCCAAACTGTAGTGGCTCTGGTTTTTCTAACCGAAGTGTGTGCAACTGTGGCCCAATTTCTCCAAATGTCATCAAATGAAAAAGAGTTGAAAGAAGCCAAGGATTTCAACCAATGAATAGTCCTGGTTAAGATACATTCCTTCACTTCTGTAAAGGACCTCTCTTTATTTTGGAAAATTCTAGTGTTTCTTTCTTCCCAAATTGTTCATAAGGTGGCTGCATTGAAATATCTCCACATACCCCAAAAAGACAACCTTGTTGCACAAGAAAGAGCATTTCTTCAAGTTGATATAGATTTTGTCCTTGTGGACAGTCTCTAGTACCTTTTGCTATTGTTCTAAATGCTCTTCTTTGGTTCAATTATAAATTAATATGCATCAAAATGAACAACAACAAATGCGCCCAAGAATGGTTGAAGTACCTTTGTCATTGAACGCATAAATGTACTAGGAGCATTGGATAGACCAAAAGGCATGACCAGCCACTCATATAACCCATGTGGGGTCTTGAATGTTGTCTTCCATTTGTCTCCACTTCTCATTCTGATTTGGTGGTACCCATTACGCGAATCAATCTTAGAAAACACCTTAGAATTAACCAACATGTTGAGCAATCATCTAACCTTGGGATTGGAAATCAATATTTGATGGTTATTTTATTTATTGCACAGCTCTCTATGCACATTCTCCATGAACCACCCTTCTTTGGTGTAAGTAAAGCAAGCACAAGACAAGGGCTTTTATTTTTACGAACCAGTCCCTTTTCAATCAACTCTTCCACTTGTCTTTTCATTTCAGCTCGTTGTGTAGAGTTGGCAGATTTGATAAAGATGCTCTTGGAGTCAAATCAGTAGCATGTTGGACTGTTCCCATCGGTGGCAATCCATGTGGCAACTTTTCACTCACTAATTCTTGAAATTCTTTCAACAACTTTTACACTCAACTTTCATTTGAAGTTGTTCGCTTGCCACATCTTTTCTGATTAGTGCATACATAATCCTTGATTCCTTTCTTTCTTAAATCGTGGTGCCGTGAGGAACCCATTAACCTTGCTAGCCTTAGGGAAATTTGGAGCATCATCCTTAAGAGGCTGCAATGTTAATTTTTGTGTTAGCTTTGGGGTAATGGAGTATGTCCTTGTACAACCACAGTCAACCCAATAGAATGTGACGTGCATCCATTGGCACAACATCACACTAAGCTTCATCTTGAAATTTGCCATCCAAAGTAAATTTAACTAAACAATGAGAACTTACAGGTACCTCACTTCCCTTTTGAAACCAAGCAATTTTGTAGGGATTTGGGTGCTTCTCCATAGGCAACTTCAGCTTCTCTACAGCTTCCCTAGGTACCGAGTTCTCACTGCTGCCCCCATCAAGTATGACATTAGACCTTGCCAATTGCCATCACAAATAACATGAGTGTGGAAAATGTTATGTCGCTGTCAGTCTTCAGCTTCCTTACCTTTTGGTGACATCATGAGTCTTTGAACCACCGAACTTTTTTTTTTTTTTGAAAAAGATGGTAACTTTATTAATGACATAATGGGTACATAAGAATATGTACACAGAAATTACAACTCAAATGTTAAGTAGGAAGAAAGCTATCACTAAACAAGAAATCCCTGTGAATACCAGCTTTTGCTAGGCCATCCGCATTCGAGTTTAACTCCCTAGGGATCCAACCCAGCTGTGCATTTAAGTTAAATAGGATATATCTAGCTTCAGCCAAGAAATGAGCTAAAGCCCATGGACCACTGCCAGAGTGAGCTAGCCACTTGATGGTATTTGCTGAATGTTCTGATAGCCCAGATCTCTTGCAATCTTGATTCTGGTTAGTGCTGCCAT